GGGGCTAGATCAGCACCATTTGGTGTTATCCGGTGGGAAGGAGGATTTGGGTGCTTTGGCAATGTTAGAAAAAAGTGTGAAGAAACTTAAGAGTCCCAAAGCTTCTCCTGGTGCCACTCTTAGTAAGGAGCAGATTGATTCTGCACTTGAATTACTGTCTGAGTGGTTCTATGAGTCATGTGGGTCGGTCTCGTTTTCGAGCCTCGAGCATCCCAAGTTCAGGGCTTTCCTTAGCCAGGTGGGCTTGCCTGCATTGTTGCAGCGCGAGCTTTCGGGTGCTCGACTTGATGCTAAGTTTGATGAGGTGAAAGCTGAGTCTGAAGCTAGGATTAGAGATGCAATGTTTTTTCAAGTTGCTTCTGATGGGTGGAAAAGCAGGGATTCTTGTGGGGAGGAGAATGTTGTTAAGTTCACGGTTAATCTTCCGAATGGGATTAGTGTTTTCCAGAAGGCAGTGTTTACTGGCGGGTCAGTTCCAACGAAATATGCAGAAGAGGTGTTGTGGGACTCAGTTACCGGTATATGTGGGAATGCTGTGCAGCGTTGCGTGGGGATAGTTGCGGACAAGTATAAGGCCAAGGCACTGAGGAATTTGGAGACTCAGAACCACTGGATGGTGAACGTCTCCTGTCAGCTTCAGGGGTTCATGTCTTTGATTAAGGATTTTAACAAAGAGCTTCCATTGTTCAGGGTTGTCATTGAAAATTGCTTAAAGGTTGCGAATTTTGTAGATAGCACCTCTGAGGTTAGGCAGGCTTTCGAGAAGTACAAGATGCAAGAGCTTGAATATGCTGGGTTGATCCAAATTCCTTCGCCCAAATGTGATACCTCAAAGAACTTTGCACCTGTCTATGCAATGCTGGAGGATATATTGAGCTGTGCCCGCATACTCCAAATGGTTGTCTTGGATGATTTCTATAAGGCGATATGTCTGGAGGATCCAATTGCAAGGGAAGTTGCAGGGATGATTCAAACTGAAGGTTTTTGGAATGAATTAGAGGCGGTTTATTCACTTGTTAAGATGATCAGGGGGACGACTCAGGAGATTGAGGCTGAGAGGCCATTACTTGGGCAATGCCTGCCCCTTTGGGAAGAATTGAGAACAAAAGTAAAGGATTGGTGTGCCAAATTCAACATTGTTGAAGGTCCTGTTGAGAAAATAGTTGACAAACGATTCAGAAAGAACTACCACCCAGCATGGTCGGCTGCATTTATACTTGACCCGATATACTTGATGAGGGACACTAGTGGAAAGTATCTTCCACCATTCAAGTGCTTGACGCACGAGCAGGAGAAGGATGTAGATAAGCTCATTACGAGGTTGGTTTCCAGGGAAGAAGCTCATGTTGCGTTGATGGAGCTCATGAAATGGAGAACAGAAGGAATGGACCCGCTGTATGCTCAGGCAGTTCAGGTTAAACAGCGAGATCCTGTAACTGGAAAGATGAAAATGGCAAACCCGCAGAGCAGCAGACTTGTGTGGGAAACTTGTCTAAGTGAGTTAAAGACATTGGGGAGGGTTGCAGTGCGACTTATCTTCCTCCATGCAACCTCATGTGGATTTAAGTGCAATTGGTCTTTCATGAAATGGATTCGTGTACATAGGCACTCAAGGGTAGGCCTGGAAAAGGTGCAGAAGATGATATTTATTGCAGCTCATGCCAAACTTGAGAGAAGGGATCTTTCTAGTGAGGAAGAAAAGGAAGCAGAGCTGTTTGGGACTGCAGACATTGAGGATGACATGCTGACTGAGGTCTTTTCCGGTGCACCCACAGTGTAATGTTTTTCTTTTTGACTCCTCTAGGATTCTGTAACTCTAGGATTTATTGAATTCTTTCCTCTCTTTTTGTTTTCTCTTCTAGTTATACTTCACATCTAGTTAAAAGATTTCAGTGTTATTGCTGGAAGGGAAGGTTAATGTGAAGGAATTTTGAACATTGTATTACTGAAACTGGCATATCTTCATGATTCTAATGAAATAGTCAATCTCTTGCCAAAAAATGATTGTGAGTTTCTTCTGTTTGTACGTTGTAAAGAAGAAGCCCTTTGATCTTTATAATCATAAAAGTGGTCCAGGAAGATGATTGAATATAAATTGTAACATCTTTCAAGAGTAATTTGAGATATATGTTTCTTTACGTTTAATATGGTGTCCTCCAAAATCCAATTTCTCTTCATTATATTAACAAAATTGCGTTTATCATGTTTCCGTTGTTGATATCAGTTATTGATTGTTGTTTTCTTCTTGTGTATGAGATATTTGATTTGGATAAGTCCTCCTATGTAACATCTTCTTCCATTTCATTGCACTAAGTTCAGCTCTTAACTAAAATATAATGAATTGGTGGCCATATGACTGGTGAAAAATTTACATTTCCATTATTTTGGGCTATTTTTCTGCAGTAATGATGCTTATAGTGGTATTAGCGTTTAAGCATGCTCAATGCCCAACATAATGACATGAAAACAAATTGAAAAGTGACATGTTAGATTGTCTCAGAAGAGGAAAGAAGAGGTAGAAGAATATGAGTCTTTAGTAGAACACCAAAATAGGATCTCCATTGTTAAAGTGGTGCCTGGATGCTGCAGTGTTAACGTGGACTAGAGCTACCGTGAGGAATAACGTTCTGAATCAATTAAAGATGAATACCAAACCAATTTTGGCCACATGATGGCTCATTACATCTAGCCTCTTCTGTCCCTCAAAACTTATATTTCTGTATACGTTATTTTTCATCACCCGAGTTCAACTTAACAATCGGGTGGACCCAAAGTCTAACTGCTCTGGTTGAAGTACCTGTCATGAAACTTACATGCATACCACTGCTAATTTTCTGTAATTCTAAGCAAATAAGAAGACAATGTGCCGCTTCTTATTGGACAAGATATCCGTAGGGCATTGTATATCTGTTGAATATGCAGTCACACTCTCAGTTAGTATTGGCTTCTATGCTAAGTGTGTTGTGCCATGCTGAACACCATACTGTTTAGATAAGTTGATATGCAGGCAGTTCCACTTCTGGTGTCCTAAGATCTCGGAATCAGATAACTTTCACATGTAGTCATGTACGCATACATTGAACACATAGGATCGATGCTAATGACCAAGATTGACTATGTTGTTATACAACCTGTTCAAATTAGCACTGCATGGCCTCAGTATCTTGTCATGATTTGATTTCTTGTACAGGACTTTTCTAGTTGTTTTCAATTCACAATCTGAGTACAGCTCATATCTAGTTTTTTCTCTTTTGCCCATTTAACTTAATTCTGTTTGTGTTTTTCCTATAACCTGAAATGTATAACTACCATACGAAGGACTCCGGTTTTTTTGTTTTTTGCAATTTATGGAACACCTGTTCGGACCTTTGATGAAATGTGGCAAAGCTTAATGTTTGGAACGAGTGGTGGTACACCCTAATTTAAGCATAGAACTCGTAATATTTTCTTGAGAAACGAAATCACCGAAGGAGACTAAAATGGCATTTGTTTGAAATGTTTGACACTTTCTTTCTGCTGCAGGACAGGGTTTTCTTGAACTGGTTGGGTGGATGGTAAACCAGGCTTGAGTCGTCGCATGGGTCAAACCTCGTGAGAACACGAGAGCGAATCTTTGTAACCGAAGACGCACTTCTCACTGATTGAACTAGGCATATCTGCTGGTATATCAGTTTCTGAAATTGAAGAGCCCCCACCATGCGAAGTGGAAGTCCATTTCAGTGCTTTAGTTGTCATGGTCAACGAAAAGGAAGGTACAAGGGGTCTTGTTTCCCATCATTCCTCTCTCTCGATCTCCCGCTGTATGTCTGTGTGTCTCTTATCTTTCTTTCTCTCTATTTTTGTGTTTATTGATATGTTTTAAATTTTTAACTTAAGATTACTTCTCATCATCTTTGATAACTTGTGCTTTAAACATTCTATATCTTGTGACATTTTTAGTCTCCAACTGGGCCCTTACTAACTTCGTTTTTCAACGATGAAGATTTACGGTCTGCACAGTTATCTGATAGGCCTGCCATGATTACTAAAAAGTGTTGAGCAAAATGGAAGCAAGGAGGGTTGTCTCCAAGAGGATGTGCATAATATGACTGAAAGGGATATTGCAACGAACTTGAACCAAATCTGCATGTAATTTCGGCTAGTAATGTTGACTATAAGTAATAGGTTGGTGTTTCTTTTACTTGTTATTCACGTACTTAATCTCCAGCCCCCTTTCAACATTGGCTCCACCCGGGCCAACGTTTTACCATAAATTCCCAACCTTTTAAAAAATTCTTGAGTACACTTGAGGATTTACACTAGCTAACCTATGTGCAACACCTTTCTTTGTGCAGGCTGAGAACTAAAACGGGTTTATGTGTCGCGCGTCAATAGATTTCATTAGTGGTTTAACTGGCTAGAAAGACCTTAGCCTTGTGGCGATCGCTTTAAGATGGGAGAACATGTATGTGGTCCTTTCTTTGTGCAGGTTGAGAACTAAAACGGGTTGTGCGTCACGCATCAATGGATTTCATTAGTGGTTTAACTGGCTAGAAGGACCATAGCCTTGTGGCGATCGCTTTAAGATGGGAGAACATGTACGTGGTATTCACTGTATATATGATTCTTCAGGAAACTCCGTTCGTGGCTTGAGCAGGTGATACATTCAAATTTAATCCTCGTTTTTCCGTTAAGTATTGTTGCAAGAATGATACAGTACGAAAAATGGGACCAAGAAACAGAAAAACACTGGCAAAAGTGGCATATGAAGTCATTAGTTGAGTTGGACATGGTTTTAGTGTCTAGTGTTCCAACTTCCATGTTTTGGAGAATTATTACGCTTTCTGGTGCACCTTCAAATCGTACTTTGTTTGAGTTTGGAATAAACGATACCAATCGTAACATCCTCTTGCCCTAGAAATTAGAAACCCAATGTACTAACTCGACTGAGCAGTACACTGTGAAAATACCAAGTTGTTGAAAGGTAACTCGGCTAGGGTTTAGAAATATGAAGTCTGGGAATCAACTTTGAATAATACTTATTCACTTACAATTGAGTACAAGACTTATATAATACAAGACTTATATAATACAAGGAAGTCTATTCTAGGAAGGAAACAAAGATGATTTACATTGATTCATACGGATCAAATCTACTCCTAATATCAAGGGGACGATATTGTCGTCCAATACTCCCCCTCAAGGTGGAGTGTGAATGTCAAGAACACCCATCTTGCCAAGTAGAGAACGGAATGCTGACTGTCCAAGTGGCTTGGTGAATATATCGGCAAGCTGCTGTCCAGTAGGTACATAGGTTGTCGAAATAACCCCAGAGCGCAGTCGTTCACGAACAACATGGCAGTCGATCTCTATGTGTTTGGTGCGTTCGTGAAAAACGGGATTGGCAGCTATGTGGAGTGCAGCTTGGTTGTCACAGTGTAACTTTGCCGGACCCTTGTGATCAATTTGCAGATCAGCCAATAGGTACTTCATCCACGTAAGCTCACATGTAGCTGAAGCCATGGCACGATACTCCGCTTCAGCTGAGGATCTCGAAACGGTAGATTGTTTCTTGGTTTTCCAAGAAACTAGTGCACCTCCAAGAAAAATACAATAGCCTGTGACAGATCTTCTTGTAAGTGGACAGCGAGCCCAATCGGCGTCGCAATATCCCTTCAACGTCAAACTCCCATTTGAAGGAAAAAGAAGTCCTTGTCCAGGTGACCCCTTTAAGTATCGTAGAAGACGATGCACCGCGTCTAGATGAGGCTTTCTTGGTTGTTGCATAAATTGGCTGAGTATATGGACCGAGTATGAAATCTCCGGCCTCGTGATTGTGAGATAAATAAGTTTCCCAACAAGCCTCCTGTATTGCGAGGCATTATGGAGAAGTTGCCCTTCCGTTGGAGATAATCTCAAGTTTTCTTCCATTGGGAACTTTGCAGGCTTTGCACCAAGTAAGCCGGCCTCATCAATAATGTCAAGTGTATATTTACGTTGTGAGATGGCAATTCCTTGAGAAGACCGAGCCACCTCCACACCAAGGAAGTACTTTAAGTGTCCAAGGTCCTTAATGCGAAAATGGGATTGAAGAAATTGCTTGAGGTCATGGATGGCAACCTCATCGTTGCCTGTGATAATCATGTCGTCAACATAAAGCAAGACGGCTGTAAACGAATTTCCACGCACCTTAGTGAATAGGGAGTAGTCGGCCATTGACTGCTGGTAGCCGGCTTGACTTATGGCAGTGGAAAATTTATGGAACCAGCTGCGAGAGGCTTGCTTAAGGCCATAAAGGGACTTGTTGAGTCGGCCACAAGACGAGCTTTGTAACGCTCGACGGTACCATCGGAGTTGTACTTGATTTTGTAGACCCATTTGCAACCGATGGCGCGATGACCAGGAGGTAAGGTAGTGAGAGTCCATGTGTTGTTTTGTTCAAGGGCCAGAAGCTCAGAGTCCATGGCAGCACGCCATTGAGGATCACCGTTAGCCTGTGCAAAAGTGGTGGGTTCGACAAGAGTCGAAATAGCACAAGCAAAAGAGCGATGCGATGGTGAAAGATGAGCATAAGATACATAGTGAGATAAAGGATAGCGAGTACCTGACATGGAGGAGGACGTGGCGCTGGGAGCAAGAGATTGCACATGATATAAATGGTATCCCTGAAGCCTGACAGAGGGCTTGAGGGCGCGGCCAGATTGGCGAGGGGCAGGTGGGGCAGGTGTGGTGGAGAGAGAGGGTTCGATGGGAGTAAGAGGAGCAGTTTCTGTCGGTGTGAATAAAAGGGTGTCGGTCGGTGTGGATAAAAGGGTGTCAGGCGGTGGCGGTGTGGGATTAGGATGAGATGGAGAATCGGTGGGAAGAGGATGAGATGGAGAGTCGGTGGGAATAGGTAGGATAGGTGGAGCAGGGTGATGGTCAAGTGGTTGAGAGGAAAAAGGGAACATAGTTTCATGGAAGATCACGTCACGAGTGGAAAAAATTTTGTGTGTGGTAAGGTCATAAACACGATAGCCCTTCTGACCTAATGGATACCCAACAAAAATACATCTTTGAGCACGTTGGTCAAACTTATGGTGAGGATGGAGGTTGGTAGCATAACACAAACAACCGAAAACCCGAAGATGCGAAAAATCGGGAGTTTGACAATGCAAAAGCTCATAAGGAGTTTTATGACCAAGAAGAGGTGTAGGTAAACGATTAATTAAATAACACGCTGTTTGTATGCTTTCCCCCCAAAAATGTTGTGGTAAATTGGCTTGAAACCGTAGAGCTCGACCAACATTGAGGAGATGACGGTGTTTCCGTTCAACAACCCCATTTTGTTGAGGCGTGGACGGACAAGAAGTTTGGAATATGATACCCTTGTCATCAAAAAAGGAACGTAAAGAGGTAAATTCACCACCATTATCAGCCCTAAGTGTTTTAAGCATGCAATGAAATTGTGTTTGGACCCAAGCAATAAAGGAACGTAACAATCCTTGTGTTTCGGATTTAAAACGCATGAGATGTATCCAAGTATAGCGAGAATAATCATCAACAATCGTTAAAAAATACCGAGCCCCTGAATGGGAATTGACTCGGTGAGGTCCCCAAATATCACAATGTATCAAATCAAAAGGTGCTTTAGAAGAAATAAAACTGGACGGAAAAGATAACCGAGTTTGTTTAGCAAGAGGACAAACGTCACATGTATGACTGGAATCAAATACTATTGATGGAACTTGTTTGGTTAAAGTTTGCAGAGGACCGGTAGAAGGGTGCCCTAATCGTTGGTGCCAGAGGGTGGAGTTGCGGCTAATGTGATGAGCAAGGCGAAGGTTGTGTTCTGGCGCCAAGTAGTAAAGCCCATTATATCGCTTGCCCAGGCCAATCGTCCTCCTCGTATCCATGTCCTGTATCACACAGAAATCAGGGAAGAAAATCACTATGCATCGTAATGCTTCAGTAAGTTTGCTAACAGATAATAAGTGAACTCGGAAGTTAGGCACATGGAGCACGCCATCAAGTTTAATGTGTGGGGTAACTTGTATAGAACCAATCGAGTCTATTAAGGCATGTCCTCCATTCGGCAATTGTACAGAATCCAGCATGGATAATGACTTCTTGTCAAGCAAATGAGGAGAAGGAGATACATGGTCTGTTGCCCCACTATCAATGATCCAATATAAAGTTTTCTCTGACAAGTCAGAAGAAGGTGTGATTGTACCTGTTGCATTTGCAAAATGCTGCGGATTACCATCAATGTTGCTCTTCTTGAGCATTGCCATAAGTTGATTATATTCTTCTGTGGTGAACTTTGGACCGTCACTGGACGTCGCCTTGTGTCGTGAGTCTACACCCTTGGTGGTCTCGGTCTCCACCGTGACTTGGTTTGCCGCAGGTTTTCTTTTATTTGGTGGCTTGACTGATTTGCCATGATACTTATGGCCAGGCGGGAAACCATACAGGTAAAAGCATCGATCCACGGTATGGTATTTTTGATCACAATATGAGCATTGAATGGTGTTTCCTTTTGATGCAGCAGTCTCCCTGTTACGGGTTATATTCATAGCATGCATATTTATATTGTTACGATTTAGAGATACCTCTACTTGCTTCTCTTGTTGGAGAACAAGGGAATATGCCCTCCGAGTGTCTGGTAGTGGCTGCATCAATAGTATCTGTCCACGTACTGCTGCATAAGAGTCGTTCAAACCCATCAGGAACTGCATCACCCTTTCTTTCTCATCTCGATCATTCATCTTCTTCAATCCCCCACAGGTGCAAGTCGGAGTTTCATTGTAGGATGCCAGTTCATCCCACAACGCTTTCAGTTTCGTGTAGTAAACCTGGATCGATTGTTGTTCCTGTCTGTGTTCAACGATCTCTCTCCTGATTTGATAAATACGTGAGTCGTTTCCTTGTGAGAAACGATCTCGCAGGTCAGCCCAAACATCGGCTGCTGTTGTGTAATAAGAAACGCTGCTCGCAATGTCGTCGTGGACTGAGTTGAGAATCCAGGCAAGGACCATATCATTGCATCTTTGCCATGATGCAAATTGTTTGTCAGTCTCTGATGGAGGGTTAATGGTGCCATCAACCATGCCAAGTTTATTTTTCGCGCTCAAGCTAATTCGCATAGCACGACTCCAGGTATTGTAGTTGTCTCCTTGAAGTGTTTTGGAGACCAAGATATTCCCAGGTTGATCCGAGGGATGTATAATAAAAGGATTCGAGACATCTGTGAATGTCTCCATAGGTTTTTGGGTGTCAATGGACGCCTTAGGTATTGGATCGCCCATGGTGGTTTAGGTGATGTTGTGTCTGTTAGGATTTGCGGAAGCTGTGTGGGTATTCAGAGTCACCAGAAACGGTGCTCTGATACCATGTTGAAAGGTAACTCGGCTAGGGTTTAGAAATATGAAGTCTGGGAATCAACTTTGAATAATACTTATTCACTTACAATTGAGTACAAGACTTATATAATACAAGACTTATATAATACAAGGAAGTCTATTCTAGGAAGGAAACAAAGATGATTTACATTGATTCATACGGATCAAATCTACTCCTAATATCAAGGGGACGATATTGTCGTCCAATACAAGTGGGTACGTGAACGAAGTAAAAAACTTGGGTAGAGGTGCCTGATTATGTCATCTGCAGGTCACCTCTCACAAAAGCGTGAATTTCTGTTAGGTGAGAGAATTGCCTAGTCAAACAGTTGTATCAAACTTCTCTTGCGATCAATGAAAGTTCTCACTTTTTAATGGTATTTTTAGCTAAAATGGTCTCGGGGATTAACATAACTTCTCACTTTGCTCCTCGAGATTTAAAATCGGTAGAACTAATCCTTCAGTTTGTCCACCGTCAATCATTTTGGTCATTTCATAAAAAATCCCCTTTAAACAAGAAGAAAATGATAAAAATACCCTCAATTTAATAAAATAGGCCAAATGATTTGACAAAATTTGAAGGTATTTTTGTCATTTTCTCTTTATTTAATGAAGATTTTTACGAAATAACCAAAATAATTGACAGTGTACAAACTCAAGAACAAGTTCTACCAATTTTAAATTCAAGACCAAATTGAAAAGTTTTATGTTAATCTCAAAAGATCATTTCGGCTAGAAAACTCTTTTTAATTAAGTGTAGTGAGTGGCGGAGTAAAATGTTGTTACTCTCTTTCTACCTTTGATTTCATTTGCTACTGAATTTGGTGAAGGCACAGAGGTTCCTGTCGGCAAAGGGAGGCAAAGTACTGACTGCTCACCAACCAGGAGGGAAAGGGGAAAGCCTAAGCCTTTTTTTTAACCCTTGTATGGATAGGAGGAATGAATTCATTTGTTCACTCTCCACTCAAGTCCTTGTTAAAGGGAAAGTAGATATGATGATTAGTATAGGACAACACTCTTTTCTACAAGAATCTTCACACTTTCAAATGCTCCTCCATAATTAGCTTTCTTCCCTTTATATCATCTCTCCCCCTCCCTCTTTTTCTTCTTGATTGTGTTTGAATTTTGAAACCCCATGTCCACCATTTTTCATGAGTACGTACAGACATTTAGAGTCGATATGTATTTGATCATTCCTTGATCACTCAATTTAAGTTGTTAGATGATTAAATATGTCAACACCGAATGAATGTAAGTACTTGAAAAAATTATGTAAAATTGATATGATATGATATGAAATGAATTTTGGTATGTATTTATTGCCTGTGGCCTCTTTTTTTTGGTGACTTTAGTTTTATGAGGGAAAATGGAAACATTATTTCTTTGTACTCCATACTGTTGTTCCACCAATAATTGAGTAAGTTCCACACAGAAAAGTGAAAAACTGGTCATGATAATATATAATTAATGATTAGATATGGATTTATGCAGAAATACATCATTTTTTAATCCAACTACTCTTTTGCACATGCTTGGTAAAAATAAAGGTTAAATTGGGTATCTGATGGTGGGGCAGGGAATTGAATTACATATCTGTACCACCAGCTTTGGTGTGTTTTTTTTTTTTTTAATTGAATTGTCCATATAACTATCATTTAGTTTCAATTTATTTTTTGAAATTGACTTTGTTTCACTTTGCATTTTGAAACTGTCATTTTCAACTCTTTTGGTCTCAATTCACCTCATTTTGTTGAAGAAACGTTAAATGCAAGGGTATTTTGAATATTTCATTTTTACACACCTCTTTGTGTTGCATCCATCATGCTCTTTAGTTCAATTGACTGATCTTCTTGGTGAAACAAATTAGAATTCACGACAAAAGAGAAAGGAATTTAATGATTTACTAGGTTAGAATTTAGCGTTTCTTTAACGAAATAAGGTGAAATGAGACCAAAAGAGTTGAAAATGGCAGTTTCATGAGACAAAACTAATTTCAAAGACAAATTGAGATTAAATGCTAATTTCAAGGGGCAATTCAATTAATAAGGCTATTTTTTCTTTTTTGTATTCTAAAGTGTCTGTCTTTCTATGATTTCATTCACATGAACTTCAACCATATGTATGATGTGTTATAATGATAAAGATAGTACTCAAATCAATTTCTTTCACAAAGTTTTAGTATCTCTAACCACTAACCCCACACCTAAAAGTTGTGGTCCTCGAGTTTTGATTGTAATGACTTACCTATACACTTTATTAGAGTAGCCAATTGTAGCGAAAAACACCAAACCGTACCTTACCTTCGGGTGACTTTGAGCCAATGAGTTGTTGGAGCGTAGCATGAACGAGTATCATGTGATTGTGAATCGTTGATGTGTGCAAATCAAATTTCATGTATTAACAACTCACAATCACTGACGTGCCTGTGAACAACTGATACTAGCACTCAAAAATGAAAATTGCTAATTTGTGCAATTTTTCATTTGACTTTGTTACAAATGGCATCTCTCTAGTAAGTAGGTTTTTCCTACCAAGTGGCTAAATTGGAAAAAGAATTTTAATTAAAACTTTTTTTTTTTTCTTTCTTCTTGTTTGAAAAACCAAAATCTAAACACAAGTTGGTGTTCAAACCAACATCAGATAAATTATAAATCATACCAAGAACTAGTTCTGTATCTCTTTGACATTGGTCACTTTTTACTTCCCAATTCATACAACCAAGATTCTCGCTTCTTTTGAGAGATTTTTATGGGTACTGAAAACACAAGTTGATTTGGTAAGGTAAACGTAAACGATACTGTTAATTTGTCTCACTTTAGAGTGTATTAATATAAAAAAAAAATCATCTACACTAAGAGAGAGGGAGGTGAGCTTAGTCTCATAATAAACTAACAAGAATGTGGTTCAAATTCGCATTTGACGAGAATCAAACTTAAAACATCTTACTTACAAGTAAAAAAAAATATAACTGAATCGCATTACTAAGTGATAATTCATGTGTTATAACTTGAGAGAAATAAAATAATAAAGCCACGTAATTATATTCCGAGCATACTAAATAATGACTCCACCCGTTTAGCCCTAGAAGGCTGAAAAATCCATCTCACCTCTTAGTCATTATAATTTCTTGCCATTAAGTAAATACCAAAAAAAGGAAGAAAACGAATTAATTAAGTGCACTCCCGTCAAATCAATATCTCCAATTATCTAATCTCACCCTGATAGTCATCATACATTATCATTACAAAAAATCCTCCTCTAAATATTCCCTATAATTTTATGATTACATCTCTGTACCACTCAAAGTTGGCCACCTAAACGTATTATTCTACTTTATTTTTTGGGCAAAAGGGTTTTACTAATTGCTCCACGTTTAACCCTAACGCTTTTTATAATAAGTGTATTTTTGTTCACCGTCTTTAAAGAATAGTATTGTTCATTACTCTATGTTTCAATGTTTGATGAATTTAACTTTTGAGATTTTGGTTTATTTGCTACACAAATATTGAAATTTAAACGTATTTAAAAGTGATAAATTAGATTGTGAATATCAGCATGAAATGATAGTGATGAGCAAAAATATTCGCTTTTATAATTAGTAGGTTGATTAAGTAATAAACTTTAGGTTTACTTTTTCTTTGCTTATGGCCTGCCTACGACACAACATTTGTGTGGAGCCGAATAAACGTTTTAGGTCGAGTTAGGTCTACAAGCTAGACTAGGGCGGTCGTATTGGAATGCTAGTATGCCACCCATTTGTCCTACACAATTCCCTCTTTGAATTTTGTGTATATCATCGACATGGTATAAGCATAGTCCTGAAGATGAACAAAAGATAATTATGCCACCTCTGTGCTCCTACGTCACGAGAGCTTCAGCAAAATCGTCACGCTGTTAAGTAATGATACCAATTGATTTATGCTATTACACGCATTATAAGTACGATAATGACCTATAATATATCAATATTGTCCAACATATTATAACACATGGATTCATAACGCCGCAACGCCACGTGAAAATTTGAGAATCACACTAAATAATTTATCATATACATCTCCAAAAAAAAATAATAATAATAATTCATGACAAATATTCGATTTGGGCCTTTCGGTGCTACTTGAGGCCCAACCCAATCAAATGAACTAGTCCAGAATACAATGGACTCTTGTTCCATGGGCCTTATTTTAAACAGGTGAAGCCCACTTTGTCAACTCGTGACACAGAATAAAACATGCCGGAACTCAACAATTTAGAACAAAAAAATACAATTTATTCAAAATAAATACTTCATTTAGAGCTATACATATATCGGGCTGCATTACGACTTCTTTATATATACACATCATCGTCATGGTGTAAGAATACCATGATCTTCACTCCAAAAGAAATGCAAACAAAATTAAACGAAGCCGATCGGATTACATAAAGTTATAAACTATGTCTTATGTAACAACCTTAACCCGTTCGTGCCCAAAAGGTCATATTTACTCGGCATTTAGCTGAGCACTAGATGCCTCCATTAGGCCGTTGCGTATTTGATCACCGATGTCCCTAATGTGACCCGGACCATGGGGTAGAAAAACTGTAGTGTTTTTCGATGAGTTCCCAAGGTCTTTCATCGTGTCAAAGTACTGTGTGATCATGATCATATCCATCACCTCCTTTGACGAGGTGCCTTCCACCTTGCCTGAGAAATTCAAGATGTTCTCTCTTAATCCATCGGTGATTGCCTGCCTCTGCCTGGCAACACCAACTCCGCCAAGGTACTTGGCCTCTGCTTCAGCTTCTGCTCTTTTCACTTGAAGCACCTTCTCTGCTTCTCCTTGTATACATTGGCAAGCTGGAGCCTTTGAGCTGCAGTACAGATGCTCCATTTTTCAGTATATAAACAAGAATAAGCGTTTAATTACAAGCCATTACCATATATCAAAACTGCAAATACTGACCAGTGCGCACAATTCAACATTTCGAGCTAACCAAGAACATAAAACAAATAAGTTGAGCTTCTAAGAAGACCTTGTGTCTAGGCAAATAATGTTCCAAAAGTTAACAAAAGCAACGTTTGTTTGCTCCAACATATAAAGTAATTTCATCAAGCAAACTCAAATTTAATTACAGCTTAACATAAACAGCAGAATCTAAACATTTTGAGGCCAGATATGTCATAAGAATATCTCGTCAGAATGTCACGAGTATCATACACTTCTGTGCAAAAATCGAAGAGACGCAACTGAGTAAACCATAGCACATAACCATTCCAAAATGTTTGTTCTCAAAACCTGGGGCTAACCAAAACTTCCAGTCCTACAATATACTAACTCCCAAAACATGTGTCTTCCTACCACACATACAAGCAGAAACTATGTCCATGAGTAAAATCAGGGAAAGAAAAATCAAGGACAATGACCTGCATTGATTTCGTTCATTGCCTTGCGGACAGAGGCATCAGGTATAATGTCAACCATCAGTATGTGCTCTATGCTGTAACCATATTCTCTCATAACCTGATCAGAAATTTCAGCATACAATGTAAGAAATCATGTAAAACAAAACATTTCTTGCATAACAAGTTTCTGAGAGAACGAAACATAACAATAATGAACAAAATTTTGCTCAAAACAAACGGGTGAGAAGCAATCACAACAATCCAATTGAACTCAAACTCATTCAATTCAAAGCATTGATACGATAAAATAGTAACAATCATGCATTCCACCGCAAAACGATCACGAATACGGTAAACATTTCATCTCATCATTTTAAATTTTACCTTCTCAAGTTCCTCCAACACCGCTTTCGCAACCTCACCCTTCTGCTCAAAGAGCTCGTCCAACGTCATTCTCGGCACCAGAGCCCTAACCACTACGCATACCAATTCAATTTAATTCAATTCAATTATTCGCGCCGCGTAAAAATTGAAACCCCAATTAACCAATATAGTAAAATTACCATCAAAGACATAAGCTTGAATCTGCTCTTTGGGGTTTTGCAGCTCATAAAACGCATCATCGGCGTTCTCTCTCACTACCCTGTATTGTATCGAGCACACCAATTGCACGAAGACATTATCCTGTCCAAAATTACACAAAAAAATTTCAATCTAAACACCAACAAAAATTCACAATTTACTCCAAATTCTTGCTTTTGCAGTATGAATTTCGAGTAGGGATGATCAAATTACCTTGGTTTTGGTCTCGATGCGGACGTCGAGGGAGGCGATCCTGGTGGAGAGGATACCGGCGACCCATTGACCGGCCAACGGGTTCAGGAGGTGGAAACCGGGTTCGGCGAGCCTCTCGAACCGGCCCCACCTCTCCAAGACGCCTATCGTCGCTTGGTCTACCCAGGTGCAGCAGCAGCAGCACGAATTGCCCATCTGGATTGGATTGGACCGGACTCTCTCAGGTTTGTGGTGCGAAATTTGGGGACTGTGGAAATACGAGCGGGGGCTGACGATGGACGCCGACCGCCGAGAACTATTTATACGCTACGGGGAGAAAAAACCGACATTTGGACGATTGGGCTTTTGGATAGCAATCTTATCCGTATACAGTCCACTGGGAATAGGCCCGGAAATAGTACCTTGGGCTGGATTTAAGCATCTAAACAGAAGTTCTGGTGGGCTTCAAATCTTAAGAGATTTTAGGGATGCCTTCTAAGAAATAAAGAAGAGGTGTTTTTATGGAGACTACAAATAATTGTCGATGGAAATGATTCTCTACAAAAAATTCATGGTTACTAACTCGCTATTTACTAGTAAAATAACACTATAAAATCACACATCATACATTATACATGTTAGTTTGATACGCACTGATGGCTCATTTGTTAACAGTTTTAAGCATTTGGAGTCTGGTAGTTGTTTAACATGGTATCATAATTATAATTCTGCGAAATCCTGAGTGCAAAACCGGCACTTGTTCTGTTGCGTCGTGCATCGACCCTTCTATCCAAAGTAAAAAGCGCACAGACATGCACCCGAAATCCATATGCATGCATACTCCTTGTACATGAACATACAAGAGAAAAACATTGTATGGGCATAGAAGATCCATCCATACTCCACAGTCCCTTAGACGTGTTGGATACATGTATGGCACGCACACTGAACATTATACGCGTATTGGAGCTACAACCTTGATATGGATTTTTGTATTCTTTAAGAACTTCCTGTTTGGATTGGCAATCTTTAGTAGGATGATATTTTGAGCATTGTTATGAACAGCCTAGTCTATACTTTTCTGATAGTTTATGTTTTTAAAGTGTTCAACGCCTAGATTAACGGAAAAAAACATTATGTGGGTAGCATGTTCTTGGAATTTTTTTTTCTTTTTTTTTCTTCTCTTGTTTCGAACTTTTAAGATTGCAAAGCAAAGAATCAAAGACAAGGAAGAAGACATGGTACAACTTTGAAGGGTAGCGTTGCACATAAATGTCCCCTTCCAAGCTTGCTCAACCTCCAACCAAAAAATCTTCGGCCCACACGTTGTTTCCATCATGCTTCCCCCATTTTCCATCACTGTCTGATCAGTACTCCCATCCTATGCTCCATAATGTGTTCTTCACGAGCTCAAGAGAGATTTGTCGGTGTTTCAGATACACCGTTACATGATATTATTATTCTACTTATCAAGTTATAACTATATATATATTTGTTTTGTATTAATATTTCTAGGATTGAGACATATTAATCATATCGTCCATTCAATCATTCATGATATCATCCACTCATATTATAATTAATGATGAGAGCAGTTAAAATATTAGGTCAAATTGGTTCGACCACACAAACGCATTCATACATTCATCGTCTCTCTGTCGTCTGATCACTCTAGCAGGACTGGACAGAGGATGGAGCATCTTACTGACTTACACTGCAAGAGATGGACAACGAGACTTTATGTAATGTGTTGCTTTGTTATGATGTGCTTGTTAGGGAAACAACTTGATCGGATCCAGATATGTGTTGTCATTTCTGGAGGCAAGGACGAGACCTCTTGCACTATATTTAATTATGATTAATTAACCACATAGTTGTTTATAGGGATTCTATGTGTTAATATCAAGTTTATAAAATTTATTTTCAAACAGCTTCTAATACCAAAGAAAATCAAGTGATATGCATAAATTAAGTAGCTTGTACGCAAGAAGACTGCATGTGTTTTGTGTAGTGTGTATGTTGCTAAAACATGTTAATTAAATTATAGAGTTAAGTACAAATAACTATCAAACTTTTAGAGGTGATTCGAAATTGTGTCAACATTTTAAAACATTCCAAATAACTACTTAACATTTACAAAAATAAACACTTGTTAGGTCCCCGGAGTCAAGTTAATTATGTCACTGTCGTTAATTAGTGATGTCAGTAATGTTAGGGAATGGTATGTATTGAAGCTAATTAATTTTCACTAACACTTCATTTTAGAGCTATGAATCCTCAAATAGACCCATTTTAGGCAAGTTAAACGCGAATAACCTAACTGAATGTCTAATTTTTAAAACGCAAGGTAGTTATATAATATGTTAAAAAAAATTGTGACCAACTTGAACTTACTTCTAAAGATTGGGAAGTTCATATATATGAGCTTAACCCTAAAATATATAAAGTTTAATTTACAAATAGAGGACTGCCAAGTTTGTTGGTTTTTTGCCTCGTGTAACATTGGGCTCTCCTAGTATTTATATTATGTAATATTCAACTTATGTTGTCTCTACAATATAAGGCATTACAGCTAATCAATGATTATTTGGAGCGAAAAATATTTGGCATCGTGCAGTTTAATTTTATATTTGCCATCAAATATTAAGATACTTGCTATAAAAAATAAATATACGATGTTTGCACGTTAATGAGTTGCCTCCCGGAAACTCATCGAATTAGTCATTAATTAACTAAGCAAGCTAGCTCTATATATTTCAACGGGAAGATTAGCCAAGGGGAAAATCTTATTCATATCTTGTTCATAATTTCCTTTTTTCCCGTCAATAATAGCACCCTTTCTTTAGGCAATAGTAGTTTTCTTCTCTCTTTCAATTTATTAACCAAGAGGAAAATTTGACAGTTTATTTCGAAAATTCTACAATTTTTATCAAGTTTATACAAAACGATGAGAGTCAAGCTCTTACAGTGAAGTTATAAGCACTCTCATACACACACACACACACACACACACGGTTTAACTAACACGGTTTAGCCCATCGTTTTTCCAGACAAACTAATACTAAAAGGACAATAATTATATAATCCTACTTTCCTAGTTGGTACTTGTTAATTTTTTATATAAACATTTTCGAACATGGCCAGTTGGATTGCCACAGTGCCCCCTATATATATGTCAGCCTTCCATATTTTATCCCCAGCAAACTTGAAGCTAAAACGTTGGGATTTGAGAGAAAAGAAGATCTAGAGCTTTACTCACAACTACACATACAAAGAGCAACATGGCTTGCTGGTCTGCTGAGAATGCCACAAAAGCCTACCTCAATACCCTCAAAATGGTGAGTCTTCTTTTACATTATTTTCCAAACGCTTTTTTTCTACAGTTTTTAAAACTTTTATGTCAGATTTTTCTGTTTAATACCATCACTTCTAACTGGTTTTTTCTTGTGTTTTTAATTCAGGGTCAGAAGGCAAACGAGCCAGATGTGATCGAGTTCATTTCAGCCCTAGCAGCAGGCAATAACGCACAGCTAATGGTTGTTGCATGCGCTGGAGCTGCCGACTCCAAAACCCTAGCCCTAGCTGCCGCTGCTCAGCAAACTGGCGGCAGAGTTGTATGCATTCTTCGCAGTGACGAAGAATTACACTTGTCTGAAAAAGTCCTTGGCGTCAACGTTTGTCACATTGAGTTTGTTATTGGAGAAGCTCAAAATCTTCTTTTAAATTACTACAAGGAGGCGGATTTCGTGCTCATCGATTGCAACCTCAAGAACCACGAGGCAGTTCTTAGAGCGGTACAGGTGGGGAGGAAGCACAACGGAGCTACTGTTGTGGGGCATAACGCTTTCGGAAAAGGATCGTGGCGGTCCGGTGGATCGAGGACTCAGTTTTTGCCTATCGGAGGAGGGTTGCTAGTTACAAGAATAGCAGCAGAAAATGATACTGCAAAAATGATTGGAAAAAAGAGTCATTGGGTTGTGAGGGTTGATAAATGCACCGGTGAAGAGCATGTGTTTAGGGTTAGATCATCGATTCCACATGGGAAAGGGATTTCAGCTTAGGGTTAATTAATTAAGAGGATAATTAAGGTTTCCTTCTATTAATATTGCTTCTCTAAAAACCAAATGAAGCAAATTAGATTAGATATTATTAGTTATTTTTGGAGTTTTGAAGGTTCTTATATGTATGTAATATCTGAAATGTGTATAGCAAGTGATGTTACATGTAATAGTTATATATATTACGATTATAAATATAAGATGATTAATTAAATTTAAAGCTGTAAATCTTGAAAAATTAAGGCAGGTTGTGCAGAACCTGCAGAAAGCACATTCTCTGAACACGTGAATTAATAGTTTGAAATTATCAGTTAGCCCGTGCAGACTTTGTTTCCTCCATGTGTATCCATATTTCTCATCACATTCTTACGAATCTTAGTCGCACGTTCTCCTTATTATCTTATGGTTTTCTCGGAATCGAGTCACGTTTATGAAGAATTGAAAGAAAAAGCTCCTGGCAAGTGACAAGTTTATCGTAATATAAGGTTTGTATTCGGTAATTCAGCCTACCAAGTACTTTGATTTTATAAACAATTTTTGCGATTTGATTTCTTGAAGTTCTGAACTATTCACACAGAGAGGGCGTTGAGGAGGAGCAAAACCTGTAGTCGCACAAGGCCTTAAATTTGAAGGGGGTCCCAAAATTTTTGTCATCTAGTATTTATGTATATTGATGTTCTATATTTAAAAATTGCTTTTATTAGCACTTTAAAATATCATCATGCACTCTTTATAAGCGTAATCTTTTTCCTTTCTAAATATAAAAATTTGGAGTACAATGAGATATTTTGATGCCAATAATAAGGTGAACACCTTAAAAAGGGAATTTTTTTTTCAATTTTATTTATAATAATGTTATTTATTCAAGTGAAACATTAAAGTTAAAGTTTTGAAGTTCTTTTTTTTATGTTTGGTTGTTTAAGATTGAACTGCTTTTGATTATTTAGTGAACGTTATGTTTGTAGCTCTTTTTACTTATTAATAATGACATTTTAAAACTTGCAATCAATGAGTGCTAAACTTTATTTTGATTTAAGTGACTGTTTTCTAGTGTCAATAGATTGTTTTACCTTTTTTTTAAACTATCTTAAGAAGAAGCCTTTTTATAAATTTCGTATAGAACTCTCAAAATCTCAAGGATGGTACGAAATCATATGAAGGACGACACTGTATAAAAGAAAATTTAGAGAGAGAAAGCTCTGTTGTTTACATTGTGATCTATCGAATTAGTTACTTAGAAGCTTATAGACTTAGCCTAGTACAACCAACTCAAGTAGACTTCATAAAAGTCAATTTTCACCATTCACAGACTACGGAGAAAACATGTTTAGAGTGATCAGATTACTTTTCTAGAAAGTGAAAGTTTTTTGGAAATGCATTTTATTATTAACGCGTTAAAATTTTTACAAGTGTTTTTAACTTATATATGTTAACTATGTAGTCAAAGGGTTTTTGATCATGAAGTGAACGGTGAAATCATAATATTGAACTTAGGGCGTGTTTCGCCGTTCACTTCACCCCCAGCTAGCCAACTCATGTTCTTTTATAACATGAGAACTTAGAGAGTGTTTAATTTGACCTCAACACAAGATTCAATAATGTATCTCTCACCCATTTAAATTATCTTCTTTACGACCAATCATTTAATGGATTGCTTAGTTACATGCTCACGTATGCTACAAGGTTCGGTGGCTTCCCCCTACAAGTAAAAGAGAGCTGAACTGTGGAATTACTGTATGGGTTAGGTAGCTTCTTCAAGCCCAAAAACTACAGCAACCTTCTGTCCGATGCCCATATAGTTCTGTAGACACCAGGGTGTAGGGTGAGAACCAAAAGCTTAAATTATGAACAACTGGTAATTAATCAGTACAAAAGCCTAATCATACTTCTCTATGATTTGGAGACAAGGAGATCCTTCAAACTGATGTCTTGGTTTGCAGGCCAATAGATCACCGCCGATGAAAGTAATCAAAAAACAAATATGCACTAAAAAACATGTGATTAATAAGAAAATCCCTCATAATATCCAACCTCAACAAATGCCGGTTTAACTAGTTGGCAAGGGTAGTATGCCTCCCCCTCCGCTACGCCCAAGTTCAAATACCCTTCCCCGAAAATAAGATTAGATTAGAATTTTACGTTGTCGAAATATAAAAAACCATCTAAAGGCCAGTAGTAGGCTACATTAAACAATGGTCTAACAACATTCACAACGAAGCTTGGTCCTCAAGAAAGAGGACACAACATTACAACATAAAAATCCTTAGAATTACATCCGAAGTTAGCAGTTAGTTTTCAGCTAACCATGAGTCGTCCATTACCAATCTGAATAGTCCTGACGCAATGGTTGAACAAAAAAGACAGCACCCAGGAGTCAGACACAACTGCTACAATTACTCAACTCCTGAACAACTTCTTCCATAGAAGGTCTCTCAATCGCAGACTCATGGGTGCAAAGCAAAGCAGTCTTTGCAAGCTTGGATGCTTCGTATTCGAAGAACCTTCCATTGAGGTTTTGGTCGATGAAATCTTGGAACCTGCCTGACTCAGCCCCAATGCGCATTGCACTGGTGACTTTCCGCTTCCCTGATAGGATTTGGAGAATGAGCACCCCAAATGCATAAACGTCACTTTTCTCTGTGAACCGTCCTGTGGTGGTGTACTCGGGAGCTAGGTATCCCATTGCAGCGCTGGCCTTGAGTGCTGAGAAGACAACATCATTGGTTAGAAGCTTGTGCAGGCCAGAGTCGGAAAGCAAGGGGTTGTATCGCTGGTCGATCAGCACCTTCTCAGCTGAGATGTTTTGGTGAACAAGGGGAGGTTTGTTTGGCTTGTATCCATGTAAATAAGATAGACCTGACCAACAGAACAAAGCTCAGTACAGATAAATCAGAAATTGACACCATGTAAAACAGCTAAAAAGGGAACATATACTGACCTTTAGCAATGCCCTTCACAATACAAACCCTAGTAGTCCATTCAAGAACATGGCTGTCGCCGTCCTTGACATCAAGATACTGCAGCAAATTTCCATTAGGAACAAAGTCATAAATGAGGAAGCATTCTCCCCGGCCCTTTGAGCAACAAAACCCTCTCAACTTCACCAAATTTTCGTGCCTCAACAAGGTTAACATGTTCAATCCCTTCAAGAATTCAGATTCCTCGGTCTTGCAGCATGATTTGCCAATGCTCTTAATGGCAACAGCAGACCCGTCTCGTAGTATTCCTTTATATGTTGCAGAGAAGTTACTCCTACCCAATAAATTCACCTCTGAGAAATACTGAGTAGCCGTCTCCACCTCTTCCAAATTGAATCTAAAGCCACCGAAGACTTCTTGTGCAAACGCACTTAAATTCCTCCCATTAGCTAAAGGATCCCAGCCGTTGGCATACTCAAGGCTGATGAGAGGAGATCCATTCTTCCTGTAAACTCCATTGGCTTTGGCCTCGTCAGTACTAAAACGGCCATCAGCGATATCAAATGAGTTACCAAGCTTCTGTTTCCTGCGTCGGTGTTGGGTAAAGAATACAAACACCACACCTGATAATGCAATAGTTACTACAATGACACCAACAACAACAGCAACAGAGGCTTGATGGGATTTTGACAAATTGGAGCAATGAGTTTGGTTGCATGGCAAAGGCACATTTGCAGTTTCCGGGAAGTCTCTTGTTGGCACGCCAGCTCCAAAGGGTTCGGGTCTACTCGCGTTGGGATGACTGGAAGTAGTGCAGGCGGTTAAGGACATGAATCCAGCTCCACATAATCCCAGATTGTTTTCATAAGAGAATCCTTCATTAAGTCTCTTCAAAGCTGAAATTGATCAAGGGTTTTATTACTTTTTCAACATTTTAACATGAGTAATGGCTACTGCAATTTCTTCTTCTAAAGGTCGAATTTGAGATGTTAGACTGTTCTTACCAAGAGGTACATTGCCGGATAGAGTATTATTCCGAACGTCTAGAACTTCAAGCACCGGGGCATCAGCAAGTTTTGTGGGAATAGAACCGAAAAGATGATTGACACTCAAATCCAGTCTCATCAACATTTCTAAGTCCCCCAAACTTGCCGGTATTGCGCCGGTTAAGTGGTTAGATTGCAGAGCAAGAACGCTCAGGTTTTTCAAAGATCCCAGCTGCGTGGGAATGCTTCCGGTGAGCTGATTATAGCAAAGTTGCAAAACTGAAAAGTAAACACAAACCCTAAATAAGCAGAGCATCAACTGATACAATACAAATGGGGAAATTTAACAGTTTGAAACTTTAATAACAAGTCATTTGGGAAACAGAAAGCACTTAAATCAGCCAACACAATAAGTGCTTTTTCATCTATGCAAATAAGGAATCACATGAAATCAAAGCTACTTGAATAACCAAAAATAGAGTCAAAACATACAAAAATAAAGTTCAAATCTTTCAACAGACCCACTATTTATGTACTTAAAAGGTCTGTTGGGATTGATTGCTTGGAAAACCTAAAATTGTTTTCTGACAACTAAAAAGCACCTACAATGACATTTGATGGAAACTGGGTTGTAGTAAAAGTACTTTTTGGACAAGCTTCAAGAAGCACTTCCAAGTTCTTTTCCAGGAAGCACTTCCAATCCAAGTGCTTTTCATGGAAGCACTTCCTAGTGTTTATTTTCAATAAAATTTTCACCATATTTAAAATAAAAGTACTTCTGCTAAAAGTGATTCTTACAGAGGCAGTCCAAAAACTAGCCCTAAATCAGTCAGATTAACTGAAATGAAACAACAAAAACCCACAAAAAAAATCAAAGCTTTTTCAGAAAAAAATTCAGCTAACCTTGCAAGTTGCTCATATTTCCGATCTCGGGAGGGATCACTCCAGAGAGATTATTCACATTCAAATATAAGTCACTCAGCTCCGTCAAGTTGGCAATCTCTCTGGGAATCTCTCCATGCAGAGAGTTGTAATGCAAGTAAATGCCAGTCAAATGCTTGAGCCCTGCAATGGAGGGAGATAGCTTCCCAGTGAACCCCTTTCCCTGCAGCGAAATGTTAGCAACTTGACCCGCCTCATTGCACCCTATTCCTTCAAAGGACCCGCCGCAGGGGTCGCCATTGACGGTCCACGAAGAAAGATACAAGCTTTGCGGGTCCAAAAGCGCTTTCATGTCCAAAAGTGCTTTTAACTCTGCGTTTCCACAAACCCATAAGGGGTTTGTGAAGAAAATCAGGAAGGAGATGAGAAGAACAGCAAAACCCATGTTTTGGTTTGGGTTGAAAATGGTGGTTTTCTTCTCTGTTATAAGAACCAAGCTAGTTCTCCCTCTCTCTCTCTGTCCTCAGTTTCTCTCTCTATATCAAAGAGAACGTGATCACTGTCTGTGAGAAGAGTCAAAAGTAACAGAGGGTGTGGTTAACTTTCTTCAGCGGGAGTCTGCTAAAAGTTGTGTGAGGAGTGAGAGGAATAAGAAACAAAGGAAAATAGAAGAGAGAATGGCTTAGTTTGGACCGTTGGATTGGTTGACTTGTTGATTGAGGGAGTACAGGAGCCGGTGTGGTGTTGCTGTATGGGAGTATTACCATTTTGGGTTTAGAGGACATGGGAAGAGTTAACAAAGCTACCCTGCCCTTTATTTTTTATCTGGGGACATAAAACCCAAAGTTTTAACTTATGCAAATGGATTTTAGAGAACCAAGGAACCACAAAACTAAGAGAAAGAAAAATAAATAAACAATAAAAGTGCATGGGAAGAAAATAAAGTGACAAAATTACTTATGCTTTATCGAGCTTAGTAATGGGGATTTATAACTAAGTGAGTCATTAACATAATTAGTTGTATGATGAATGTGTTAAGTGAGTGAAAATTCATTATTTCTTTATGTTGAGATCAAATTAAGCACATTTATGCTCTCAAAATTGTACGAGAGATCCCACCACTAATATAGATGGATAGCAAATCACCTTTTTTTAATAATAAAAGGATGATAAGGGATTAGGCGAATCGAACTACACATAAGGCATGGTCATTAGTCTGAAGAAAGTTGCGGTTTTACATAAAACAATTGACTATAAGCCTTTGCATAGTTTGGTCTTTCACTAATGCAGGAATTTGTCTTCGTATTCTCACACGCCCCTCACGTGTGAGAACATTCAAGTCTAACACATAGACAATACAAACTGAATAATGTGGAGCACGTATGGTTGTGAGCTTCATGCGTGAGTCAACTTGCTCTAATACACTTCCAAACACGTTGGACTACAACTATTAAAAAAACTAAAACACTTCCAAAATTTGTATTTAACACCATAATTCTAAATATTATGTCGAATAACCCAGAAAATGATAGGGTTATAACATGTTGATAGATCTTAAAATTTATAGATTGAACACCAACATTGCTATTTTTTGTTGTTGGACGCTAACTTGCACTTGAACATTTACCTCTTTTTTCTTATATATTTTACCCTAATCAAGGGTGAAAAATATAAGAAAAAAAGGGTAAAATAACTAGGGTTGTATGTTCGTAGTCGAGAAGAGATCATTTTCGAATCTCTTTCATCAAAATTACCAAATCAAGTGATCCGGATCTTTCAAATTTCTTTCAACGGCTCATCTGTTTTAACTTCTTGAAAACTATAATAATTTTTTGCTATTTGATGAAATTTAAAAAATCTAGATCACTTGATCGGATGGTCTTGATGGAAGAGATCTGAAATCGGTCGACCATATGTGGTGAGCCACGGCATGATTTACCAGTTAAGAGACTGGCGTACTCGAAACGGAGATTCCCTCGCCCAAGTACGCAGTTCGAATTCAAATAGTAAAAATCCACTGCATGCAACCGCATAGTAAACCCCCAGCAATTTCCCCAATCTAGTTGGTCCAAACTTATCAAACTACCCTGGAAACTCCACGTGTCCGGTGCTCATAGATCTAGCCGTGTACGAATACCCAAAATTCAAATAAAATGCCATATTTAATGTCTGGGACTGGGTTGGTTGGGAGAGTGAATAATTGGTTGCTTCTTTTTTTTGGTAGGGTTGTCTTTCTCTCTTTGGCTGTGCCTGCCGTACCAGAAATTCTGACACCACACTGCTGCCATGTCTTCTGTCCAAAGACCATTAGTTCTTGTCTTAGCTAAAATAATTTGTATGCCCTTTGTTATTTTCTTATTTGTTTCCTTTTCATTTGAATTTTCGAACGCATTTACGTTTTTCGGATAGCGAAGTTCTCACTTGAATTTTTTTGCATTTTATTTTTACAACTCTCATTTTCATTGTGGATGTTGCTTGCTTGACCATCAGAATCATCTAATTTATACATCACACTTTAAAGACCTACTTTCTTAAAAATAAACTAAATTAGAGTTTGTTTAACTATAAGATTAATGCTATAAAAAATTTATCACTTAGTATTGTAGTTTAGTGACACTCATTTTAACTCAACTCTCTAATTTGTTCTTTTCCTCCGCCCTTTATTTCGATCATCCTCGTTGTCATTTCTCTACCAGCAATCCATGGCTTTTGCGATCGGAGCTTCATTATCATTGAAGCTCCTTTTCACGCCTTCACCGCCAACTCCTTTTTTCCCTTAAAAGTGTTATAATATGAGAATGATAGTACCAAAAAAGAGAGGCATAGGGAAATTATATATAGGAATAGGATGGTCCAACTCCAATATGTGATATAGGGTACCCTATAATATATTGGTCCCCAAAGGAAAGGTTCTCGTTTGCTCTTCATCGAGTGATAATAGTGTGTTTCCTCTCCTTATTCTAGAGGGAGAAGCCACCCCATGCAGTACTGTGGAAGGGAAGGACCATTTCTCATTTCTCATTGGAAAAGTTCACATGCCTTTCCACTTGCCTTGTCTCTGTCCTTTTAAAACGGGTGGACTTGTTCTTATAGAACTAATTAAGATGCTTAAGTTGGTTAATTAGCATTATATTTGGTATTTAAACGAGCATAGATCGGTGGAATTTTAGTTCCCTTTGGTTAAAAGTTGTATTTCAACTTCTGCCAAAGTAGTCGAAAGCACTTTTGTTAAGACTAGCACAGTCAAAATTGGCTTGGAAAAATCCCTACAATGCTCTTTTGGAAAAACGTACGCATGAACTGCTTTTGCTATGAAAAATGGATTTTTTAAACGGTGGAAAAGCTACACCAAACAGCAAGGAAAGACTTGTTTAATGACAAAATCCAGCCTCAATTGTTTGCGGACAAAATATATTTTAAAGTGATTATATCTAATTATCGTTTAATCTAATCACATAATAAACGAGAGGACGATATATCTTGGATAATAAGGCAATGTATATTTGAGATTGTAATAGAAACCACATTGCTTGTAATTTGGTGAAAGCAACCGATCAATTGGTGTTTGTGAAAACAGGACCACACTAGCTACCTTAGTTAGCATAAGTAACCAATATTTTGAAAACCCCAACATAATATATATATAGGTCAGAATCGGGGGGCACATGTTAGAAAATTAATCTTGTTTGCTGTAATTTTAGTTGTTTTTTGCGGGCTTGATTTAATTTTGATTTTTTTTTTAGGTCTTCAATTAAGATCATATATACTAGAAATCAAATAAATCCGAATCTAAAAGATTGTTGGATTAAATAATAGTCATTGATCTATGAATGATAAATTGAAAAAGAGACGGTTCGGATTCTTTAAATACATTACGAAATTAGTTTTACAAAATAAACGTCAAAATATGTATTAAATTAATTATCTGTGTTTCCGGATCTTAACCCTATATATTAAGGTCTGCCACGGCACACACTCACCCAAAAAAGAAGGTTTGTCACGGCATGCATTCTCCTTATTATATACATCCCACAGTGCTGATTTCGACCAAAAAAATATCTCTACAGTGCTGCTTTTTAGGTATTAATCTTGGTGTGGTGCATGCAGATGCAGTAGTGGGGTGCTGGAGCTGTCGAAAAAAATTAATTTGTGGACAATGTATGCATATGGTAAAGGGGGGGAAGTATTTGTTTTTATTTATTTAGTAATGCGCTATTTTTAATGTGCTTTGGAAGATTGATTCTCTTTCTCTATATACTATACTTTTATCATCCTCCTTATCATGAAACTTTTCCAAGTTCCTTTGCAGAGGGACAAGGCATCTCTTAATAGTTCATACATGGAAGCACTAAGCATGCATGCAAGAAGCCAAGTTTTCATCTCTTTTCTATTTGTGGAGTGACTATTCCCATACCATTACTTGGTTAAGTGATGGCTTTGACGTGGTTAGCTTGTTAGCGATAATTTTATTTGTTTTCATGTAAACTTGTTGTGTTTGTAGTCTTTACAACAAATTTGTACTGATAGCATGATGCTTGTGATTATAATAGCCGTATAGCGTTGTACTTTCTGTGTATGCTCGCATGTAGACTTGTTGCATTTGTGATATTTACAACAAATTTGTGTACAGATAACATGATGCTTGTGACTGTAGAAGCCGTGTAGAGTTTTACTTTTCGTATTTATACAAATTCACGCTAAATCAATATAATCACTACAATTCACGCTAAATCAATATAATCACAAAAAAAAAACTTACCCATACAACAGAATGTCCCTATGACTTCCGGTCATATAAACTTGGTTAAGTGATGCACTTGTTTTGCGTCTTGACGTGTATCGATATTGATTCATGCATGCAACTTCTCCATCTTCTTTAGCTTATATACCTAATCAAATTCATAAGGATTCAGCAAAGGGTTATTTAATGGTGATTAGGGTTTGTTCATCAAGTCAATCATTTCTTTGTGTGGACGTTACTTCAAAGAAATCGGGATGTTTGAAGATGTATGGGTCAACGTCGAAATGATGAGCTTCTGTTTTTCTTACGGCATTTATATGCCAATGGCCCAGCCAGCTATATATATATATATATATATATATACATATTATATGATAGTATCCCGACTTTCAAAAATTTAAATCACAACTCTTCGTCCAGAGGGCCATAAACAAGGCAAATATAAAAAATAACTAGTATATGGGCACAAATAAAATGTGTGAGTAGAATTTTTTTTTTTAATTAGAGATATGTTACGATTACATGCAGGTGAGGCTTTGAAAAAAAAAAACAATAAAATTTGGTTGTGTGAAATTACATTTCTACTACATATTTCTTATTCATGTTTTGTTTTAATTAGAGGGTTAAACTGGCAATTTCATATAATTTTGGTTGACAATGAGTGTTTTATTAATTAGTAGAGATTAGTTTTCCGGTCTATTTTATATTTTTTAAGTTGTTCTTTATAGATTATATTTGCAATATATTAATCAAATTGAGAATATTTGAGGCATTTAATTAAGTGCAAAAAATTGACGAACACTATATTTTAACAAATATTGAAATTTCATCACGACAATTAAATAAGTAAATGGTTTCATGTTGAATTGAGTTTTTAGCAAGGACAATCTATGAATGAAGAATAAAAAAAAAAGTTATGATCGTTGAAGTTTGATATATAATAAGCCCCACAACTAGTTCTCATTTTTACAAAAAAATAAGAATTCATTTGAATAAAGACGGTGTATACATAATTTATCTTAAAAAGGTTTCACATTCATCATATTCTCGACCGAGAGATTAACACAAAAAAATTTCTTTTATTATTCTAAATCTAATATAATATGCTTCAAATTCATGCCGTCATAGAGATGATGGTAAATTAGATTGGAAAGTTTTCAAATTTATTTAGAAAAAGTTATGTTAAGGTACTAAACTAAGAAGTTTTCATTCCATTTCTGTCTTGCAATTATTTTTCAATTGAAATGGCGTCGTCGCCTTTTAGATACCTGCATACAGATTCAATGAGTTATGATTCTTTTGTTTAAAAGGAGACAAAAATGATGAGTTTTGAGCACAATTTCTTGTCTCTCTGTAATTATGTAAGACAAGCTAAATGATGGCAGATGATATAATAATAATAATAATTTTTTTTTTTTTTTTTTTTTTGAAAATAAACGGGGAATACAATCCAAAGCTAACTTAAAATAAGAAACAAAACGAGTTTGAGAGACTTTATCAATATCATCCATGAGTGATGATCCAATCTAAGCAGGAGGCTTATCAAACACATGAACGTCAATATTCATATTAAAACTCTAGTTTGTCAATTGATCTACCACATAATTCTTCTTTGTAAATATGTTTCAATTGACGATAGATGATTCAATTTTCCCAAATCATGAAAACGTGAAAATTAAGACACCCGAATGACAATTTCATACAATTCTGCAACAAAAAATTTATGGCTTCGATTCGTGGGTGGCTTTTTAATCGCCGTAACTGGCCCTTAAATTTACTTTTTGGACTTCTTTTTATCCAACAAGGTATCAATACCTTCGGCTTTGTTGATTTGGTGCGCCTTCCCCAGCGGTTCTCTCCAGCCTCCATGTTAGATGCCAGGAAGATGATGAGCTTTCCTGTTGCCACACAAACATGACCCAAGCAATGAAGCCCGTCGTAGTTCAACCTGAACTTGACTATTTCAATTAATTTGAGTTAGTGTCTTTTATCGATTTGTAGTTAACTTATAAAGGTTGAAATTGTACCTATTATATTGGACAACATCTAACACATTGTATGATAGTCATGTTTTTTTTTTTTTACAAATTCACTTGTGCTAATTTATATTAGTTGAAAATAAAATATAGTTAATAAAAGGACCGAATTGTCACTCAGTACTATGGTCTGGTGATATTCCTCTTTACTTGGAAGTGAGACGTTTTAGGTTCGAATCTCGTGGATGGAGAATTCGATACCAAATTAGGTTGACCATTATATGGCTTAGCCGAACTCCTCATTCCATAAGTGTAAAAATATCGATGTATTAAAAAAAAAAATTAAAGGACCGAATTATCAAACAAAACAGAAGCAAAAAAAGGGTTGGGCCGCGATAAGTACTAGCCCGAGCCAGCTTTCAACGGTCCAACACACCAGCTTGAACCCAGAAGCCCGCACCGGTGGAAAAAGTGGCGGTTTTTGGGTTGAGAAAAAAAAATTGGCGCTTTAAACCCTGAAAGAAAAAAAATTAGTAAAACCCTAGAAAATCAAAGAAACCGAAGTCAGTGTCTCTTCCCAGGTACCAAATCATCCTCACCCATCTGATTTGTTTTTTTTTTTTTTTTTTTGAATTCATCTTGCTTTATATTTCTGTAAATCGGTTTGTATTGCTGTTCATTCATTGTTCATTGTTCCGATAATTTTGAATAAAATTCAATCCTTGGGGGTTCGATGGTTTTCCCGTTAGTTTTACTGTTTGGTTTCTGAGAAAATTGGTGGGAAAATATAAGAATCAAATTGCCCCTTTTTACTTTGCTTGAGCGCTCCCATTTTATTGGTTAACTTGAACGACTCATATGGGTTGCAGATTAGTTTGTTTAAGTTGATTAATTGCTTCTTTGTGATGAATTAGTGGCTCGTAAGTATTGATGTTAATATATATGCAATGTGTGCGTGCGTGTGTGTGTGTGTGTGTGTATTACAATTTATTGGAGTAATTTAGTGATCATGTGCTGTCTATGAACATCATTTTTTGTTTTGAAAAAGCAAAGGAAGAAACCCGAGTGAGCAAGCAAAATGGTAGCAGGGATTAAAGAATTCACTGCTCGAGTTGAAAGAAACGGTGTTGATGAACCAGTTCTGGATGCGGTGAATGGTGAGGAGCTGATGCACGTTCAGCCTGGTGTCTCTATTGTCCTCGGTAATCAGCCCTCTGAGTTCCCTGGCACTCTATATATCTCCACCAAGTACGTCATTTTCTCTTTCATTAATTTAAACTGTTTGCTGGGATTGAATCCATTTGAAAGGGTTGGTCAAATTCCCCCACCCCGCTCCCACAGATAAATTAGAATCCATTTGAACAGTTGGGATTCTGCAGGCAAGTGATTTGGTTGAGTGACACTGACAAGGCGAAAGGTTATGCGGTGGACTTCTTGTCTATATCACTGCACGCTGTATCCAGAGACCCAGAGGCCTACACCTCTCCTTGTTTATACACTCAGGTACATGTTTTCATATTTATCAATGCACTCCAGCAGCAATATGGACTTTTTATCTTGTTGGAAGTGTACTTCGTCCTATTTGCGTGGTGTGAAACTCAGTTTGTAAGGGAAATTTATCTTGTTCTCTGAACACTAACCTCTTTATTTGTTCTTTCGATTTCTTTATCAATTCTTTTTGCTTGTGCTATATGAACTCTGAATAAGTTTAGAATGATGTTCTGAGATCAATTCTGCAATCATTAAGAACATTCTTTACATATTGTGCGAATGAGATATATATTACACAAGAATCACTTGCTTGCTTAGTTTTGTATTCATGGTTGTGTCTTTAACCATACATCGGCCCTATGTCTCCTGACCGGTCATTAACTTCAATATGTAATTTCACAGTTTCTTTTGTGCATTGGTTTTCTGATTAAGGTTTTGAACATTATAGATTGAAACTGAGGATGACGAGGATGAGTCTGATGGTTCGGATTCAGAATGCAATGGTGACTTAGATTTATCCAAGGTCACAGAGATGAGGCTCGTTCCTTCAGATCCTAACCAGTGTATCTCTCTCTCTATTGTCTTGATTTTGTTAGAATTTCTCTGGTGAAGGGTACTAGCTTCTTGTTTTTTGTGTGGCAGTGGATTCTCTGTTTGAGGTATTTTGCGAGTGTGCTGAGCTTAATCCAGAACCAATTCAAGGTTAGTACAGGTTTTTCAATTCCCCGGTTATTTTTCTTTTACTTATTTTGTTTTTTTGGATGATATTCGTTATGTTTGCTTCATTGCACCCTAATGTTATGCTTTTGATCTTCAGAAGGGGAAGAAGAGCATAATTGGATTTTTAGTGCCGATCAGTTGGAAGATGAGGCAGTTGGTATGTAATGGACCATGGAACATTTATCTCAAGTCATGTGGCAATATATCTAATATAAAATCTTCTATTATGTATGATGTCTTTGTTTTGAATGTGGCGGTATTTTCAGGGGACGATTCTGAGTGGCCTGTTCTTCAAAATCCTTCAAACTCAATTGGTCAATCTAACGGGGATCATGACCTAGCTCGTACCGTGCTTGAGGTAAGCCTTTGAGTATCCAGTTAATACTGCTACAGAATTGGTCCCTTTATACTGATCGCATTTTCATCTCCGTTGCAGCTTCAGATCAACGATCAACGCTTTGAGGATGCAGAAGAAATGGAGCATGAGACCGACAATGGCCGCCATTAAAATTCATTCTCCTTTCAAGTTTCATCTCATTCAAGTGCTGCCTTAACCCGTGTCACTTTCTTGTTATGCGCTCGAATCTTGCTGTATGTGCAAACAAATTGTCCTAACTCTGTTAGTCTGTGACATCACAGGACTAGGGATTTTGTGACAAAGTACCTTGATCCCCTTCTATGTATTCTTTGGTGTGTGTTTGGGGTAACTTTATGGAAAATTACCCATGGATTCCTTTGGTACATTTTTGCGCTTGATTTACAGGTTTTCTAAGAAACCCAAGTCAAATAAAACGCCAAGTTGAGAAAAATCTAATAAATCATGGGATTAAACTAGTGACATTGTTGAAGTAGATTTTGTCAATTTAAAATGTCTTGTTTCTCATACTTTTAGAGCCCTAAGTTTTTTATTTAAAAATAACATAACAAAACTAAAGCCACTTTGAGCTCAACTCGAGAACTTAATGCGCCAGGGATGTAGTGCGGTATATCTTAAATCAGTCACGTTGTGAAAAAGTAAAAAACACATAAGTCCGAGATTGACTTTGAGTGTTGCTTGTAGGTAAGTTTCTTTTAAAACCAAGTGGCGAGATAATAATTGAAGTACGAAAACTCTTCAAACTTGATATACCGATGAAATGATATCTCATTTTATTTTAGGTAACCTTTATAAATGTCTTTGGGCCAACCAAGAAATATAGTTTGGGCCGATCTCATATGATTTGACACTCGCCTTAAAAGTCTTCAACCCGACCCGTCCTCCTGTCAGACATGGCAAAAACCCTAATGCCCCCTTTATAATCTCTCACAAACACTGCCTCCTTCCTCCCATCGCTCAGAGAGACGTCCCGCAGCCCCGCAGCGCCATCCTCACCCCCGAAGCCACCAAGGTCCGCCCCCTTCTCCTCTCTCTATCTTGCTTTATCTCTCTTGATTTCTCTCTCTAACTATCACTGTTTATTTGTTTCAATCATTCCAGCAGGAGTGAGTGAAATCGAGTAATTTTTAGTCCCCATTTTTTTTATAATTTAGCTGTAAATTTTTTTATTAATCTGTTGGTTATTGTTTTGATTATGTAGGAAAGCGAAGAGTTAGATTGAAGAAAAATGGCGTACGCAGCGATGAAACCAACGAAGCCGGGACTGGAGGAGTCACAGGAGCAGATCCACAAGATCAGGATCACTCTTTCCTCCAAGAACGTCAAGAATCTCGAGAAAGGTCTCTCCTTTTGCTCATTGTTTTGCATTTAATTTCTGCCAGTTCGTCGTATTTCGTATTAATTTTTGAGTAATTGTTCGTTTGAAATTGTCCTTATTTCTGCTAGCTAAAACCAATTTATTAGTGCAAATTGAAGTTCATAGAAAAGTTTTGGCTTGTTGCTTGGTATTTTATTTTGTATGTGTCGTGAGTGACCAGTGCGATACTTTGTTGATCAGCCTGAATTGGCGGCTTAATTTCTCGGAATGTTTTGGGTTTTCTGAGCATAACATAGTGGTTATTCAATTTCAATTTAGAATCGATTAGTTGTGCGACGCCGTAGAAATGGGTTTATCCATTGTTTCTGTTTGAAGCTTGTTTAGACTATTAAGAGTTTTGATTTGCATACCGAGTATCCTGTTAGACTGTTGGTTTGACATCTAGTTTATTTACAGTTTGCACTGATCTGGTTCGTGGTGCCAAGGACAAGCGCCTGAGGGTGAAGGGACCCGTTAGGATGCCAACCAAGGTTCTGAACATTACCACCAGGAAGTCCCCTTGCGGTGAAGGTATGTTTCAGTCTGAAATTTGTATTTGTAGTTAACTCACGGATCGTTGAATAATGTCGTTATGGATGTTGCATTTTTGAAGTATGGTTTTTCTCATTTGCATTTTCCAGCTTGTTTAACTTCAAATTATGGTTTGTGATGTTCAGGTACCAACACATGGGATAGATTTGAGTTGCGTGTCCACAAGAGGGTTATCGACCTGTTCAGCTCACCCGATGTTGTCAAGCAAATTACTTCCATCACAATTGAACCTGGCGTCGAAGTGGAGGTTACTATCGCCGACTCTTAAACTGTCTACCCGTTTCAGAGTAGCTTTCCTAGTTATTTGGATAATGAGCTTGTCTGTTCTATTTTAATTTTTGTTTTAAAGACTTTGTAGCGTTTGCAATTTCTTGAGCTGAGATTTTGGTATGGATATGCACACCGGAGCCTATTTCATCATTTAATAGAAGTACTTTTTGCAAGACGCTTGAGCTTTGTTTCCTTCGATTTATATGTTTATGTCAATTACGCGGTGGTAAAGAATTAAGAGATTGAAATCTTCAATTGAATTTGGTTGGTGTTTATGCTAATTGTTTCTAAATTTTGCCTCAATTCTGTTCGAATGTGTTTCAAATGGGTGTCATTGTGTTCCTCCTTTGTCTATCCATTTGTATAATCCAAGTCTCGTTTTCTGGTCGCGAGAACGAAGCAAGATTATCAAGACACGCTTCGTTCTCGTTACCAAGAAGCAAGATTATCATAAGCTCTGCATAATTTACCTGATTACATATTCCACATGAACTTATAAATGTACTCATTCGGAGTTTTGGATGATTTGGTTTTGTATTAGACATCTAATCTTCGAACATCTGGTTAATCAAGCACTCTTGTCTAGCTCCTCCTTGCCAAGCTTACATTAGCATATGAGTAAATAAAGCGTCCCCAGTTCTCGACATCGGCACCACAATCTTCGTTGCCTTCACCCCAAGCAACCTCTCCAAAATCCCCACAACCTCATTAACCGGCACAGACAACGTGTTCCTGAGGTTGAAAACCCTAAGCTGCGCCAGCCTCGCCACCTTCCCCCGGTACCGGCGCTCCTCTGCCGTGACCGCTGCTGCTGAAAAACCCTTCATGAATCCGGTGATGTTGCTGTGGACGTACGAGGCTGCGTTTCTGAACACCAACCTGCGCAGCCAGGTGGACGACGGTGGTGAATTTCACCAACCGGAAAAGTTTCGCGAGTTTCTCGGAGTCGTTTATGTTCGCGTCCAACACAAAGATCCCATTGTAGCGGAGGAGATCAGCACGGCGGCGCCGGTGGTAGAGTTGGCGAGGGGTTTTGCGGACTGGACGACGATGTTTTCCCAGGCGGGGAGCCTGGGGAGGACGCGGGGGTTGGAGTTGGAAGATGGGGTTCTGAGGAGGAAGAAGAAGGGGATGGTGAGGAGGATTGCGATCCAGGAGAAGATGAGCTTGGTGATGGAGCACCGGAGGCGGAATCTGGGTTTGTGCGGGAAATTTTACCGGGAAAGTTTGGGACTTTTTGGCTCCTGACTTCATGGTTTAATTCGGGTTTGCTTATGAGGTTGGAGAAAATGGTGATGGAAAAGCTCAAGTTTTCTGTGTGCCAGGGATAGAGGGGTGGAGGGAGGGAAACATAAGTTTTTGGAGGGAAACATAAGCTCTGCATAATTTACCTGATTACATATTCCACATGAACTTATAAATGTACTCATTCGGAGTTTTGGATGATTTGGTTTTGTATTAGACATCTAATCTTCGAACATCTGGTTAATCAAGCACTCTTGTCTAGCTCCTCCTTGCCAAGCTTACATTAGCATATGAGTAAATAAAGCGTCCCCAGTTCTCGACATCGGCACCACAATCTTCGTTGCCTTCACCCCAAGCAACCTCTCCAAAATCCCCACAACCTCATTAACCGGCACAGACAACGTGTTCCTGAGGTTGAAAACCCTAAGCTGCGCCAGCCTCGCCACCTTCCCCCGGTACTGGCGCTCCTCTGCCGTGACCGCCGCTACCGAAAAACCCTTCAAGAATCCGGTGATGTTGCTGTGGACGTACGAGGCTGCGTTTCTGAACGCCAACCTGCGCAGCCAGGTGGACGACGGTGGTGAATTTCACCAACCGGAAAAGTTTCGCTAGTTTCTCAGAGTCGTTTATATTTGCGTCCAACACAAAGATCCCATTGTAGCGGAGGAGATCAGCACGGTGGCGCCAGTGGTAGAGTTGGCGAGGGGTTTTGCAGACTGGACGACAACATTTTCCCAGGCGGGGAGGCTGGGGAGGACACGGCGGTGGAGTTGGAAGATGGGGTTCTGAGGAAGAAGAAGAAGAAGAGGATGGTGAGGAGGATTGCGATCCAGGAGAAGATGAGCTTGGTGATGGAGCACCGGAGGCGGAATCTGGGTTTGTGCGGGAAATTTTCCCGGGAAAGTTTGGGACTTTTTAATGGGTTTTAATTTTCGGGTTTTGGGGCTTAAAATTGTGAGAGATTGGAAGTGAGTTGGTGAGTTGGAGCCAGATAAAAAGTGTTGGTTGCTATTTGGGTGAAGTGCTGGGAATCCAACAGAATTTCAGGAAAAAAGAGAATGGAGAAAATGGTGATGGAAAAGGTCAAGTTTTCTGTGTGCCAGGGATAGAGGGGTGGAGGGAGGGAAACATAAGTTTTTGGAGGGAACACGGCTGGTAAAGGAGTTTAATTATAGTTAATCGCCAATTAATTAATTAATTAAACAAAGAGTGGAACTGTGGAGGAGTAAAGAGAAACAGAATTTTAGAAGGAATGGGAATGCTTGCTAGGAAATAAGGTAAGGAACAAGCCCTCCGTGATTGGTCTAAACAACCATTAGAGATTTACAAGACAGATATGACATATGAATTAAATCAATTGGCCAAAGTTGGATGTTTGATCCTTTTATAATTGATTTTGAACATTTAAAATTTGAATATAATCTGAAAGAAAAATCAAGAATTACTAAAAGAAAGTTAATCAAACCACACTACTCTCCCATTTTTCTTTCACATACATAAAGTTATAAACATTTTTTTTTCACTGAAAAATGGGGACAACTGATGGCAAGCCACGGTTATTCACCACGTGATGGATCAGTTGATTAGGGAGCCGCAGTCCGCGTCCTTATCACTGGACCACTTGATGTGGTTAAAGTTATTAACTATTTGGTTTGCTCTTCTTGTTCTTGGTATCCAATTGTGCTATCAAATGGTTAAACGTTGGAGTAAGTCTTGGTCACGCACGCTCGCACCACGTGATGGATCAGTTGGTTTGTATATCGGTCGTAAGAATGAGGTGATCCGCTAGATGGACGATATAATTTGATCTCTCCAAATATTGGCCTATATTGCTCTACTTGAGTGATTCTACCTAATAACCTAAGGCCCTAATACTAGTGTTAGTTGGGCTAAGACCAGACACAAGAAGGGCTTCAGCAATCGATCAAGAAACCAGCCCAGTTCTGATGAACGTAAACCCTAAACCCTAAAACACCTTTTGCTGGATTTATACATTCATAATGTGGTTCAGAACTTCGACGTTCACACCCTCGACAACTTCCCAACCGTTGAAGATATTTTTGGTAAGATATCATGGGAAATGGGTGTACTATCCACATATTTCATTTTACTTCTCACACACTCTTTGATAATTTCTGTCCGTTGATCTTCTTCAATTCATCTCTTCCGACGGCCGAATATTAAAAAGATGTGTGAGAAGTAAAATGGAGTGTGTGGATATCACATCCCTATAGGAAAATGTGTACAGACAATGTCACATCATTTGACAGTAAGGTTAAACACGGTTACATACTCTCCGGAGTAGGATTCTTTCCCCTTCCCTCCTCTCTTATTTGAACGGGTTAAGTTACGTCAATATCTTATATTAATTTTTTATAGCAAGAGAAAAACAAAATAAGAAAATGTAAGAGGAGGGGATGGAAGGAAGAGGGGAGAGAATTTTAGTCTTACTCCCCCGCCGAACAATGAACAAGAACATTAATATGTCTTAATCTGATTAATTAGCATCCAATTTATCGGTCGACAAGCAACAAGATAATGTCAAATCTATAAAACCATGGTTACTGGTGTTCTTTCAGCTCTTTGATTTTGGTTCTTTCATCTCATATGATCTCTTTCAATCACTTCTGTTCTTCCCTTTAAGAACGAATATATTGGTGTTAGTTAACCTAGCTTTCGGTTCTTTTACCTCATCAACTGATGTTTCGAAAACATGAACCAGTTAATCTAAATTTGTTTTGGATTTTCCAATTATAATGAGTATGACGCACGAGAGTAACTTCTATGACACGAATATATTGTCATCGTGACGTTTTATGTAAAGAGAGACTTACACATAACGATACTATAGCGGTATACTATACCATAAAAGTCATTTTCCAGTTGCACGGAGGTTATTTAGTTATTTTCAGCTGCATATATTATCCATATACTTAGTGTTTCTAGCTCGTCACATGATTTCTTTCAATGCTTAATCATGTATCATATAAAATTAATAAGAAAAACTAATGAAAATGGTTTGAAAACTTTGAGTTTTAACGATAAAGAGAAAATAAAGAGTAAAGTGAATAGTACCATGATTAACTTTTTAGTGTAAAAATATAGTTTTTCGTTAAAGTAAACAGTACCGAAAGCTTTTTGTTAAAGTTTCCTAATTAATAAGCAGGAAAAAACATGATTTGAGGAAATTAAGGTGTCTCGTAAAGCTACTAAAACAGCAGTGATTCTAGTAATTAACATAATCTGCAATCACATAAATTTCCTATAAATCTAGTGCTCATGATCTTCACCGCTTAATGATTCATGCCCAACAACATTTGTCAATTTATGAATCCTGAATTAAGTGTTTTTGTTTTATCGAAACCATGCATCATGATCATCATTTCATCTGTGTCTTCTTTCGGTTCTTTAATCTTTCCATGATCAATGGAAAAAAATGTAGTCACTTTAGTCATTCATGCCCACAGCATCATTCTGCACGACGAGCTTTGTTAAATCATCATAAGATGAATTTAATCTTTTCATAAAGTAACAGTGCCGGAGCCAACATTTCGGATTAGGAGGAGCCTCTCACAAATGTAAAAAAAAAAAGCTACAACGCGGCTCACAACGCCAGCCCTAAAACAACACTCCAACACGCTCGCAATCCCTCTCTCACGCTCACGAAATATCGATGTTATTGGACCATGACTCGTCTCTTTGCAATTTTAACAGAAATAACGAATGGAAAATGATGGTAAAGATAAAAACAAGGGTAATGTTAGCAAGATTAAATTTGTAAATTAAATGACATGGAAGTTGATTATTCAATTATGACTTAAGTGTGGATACACGTTTATGCTCATCCCTATTAGTGACACATCATTTTGTTTGTAAATTTTGTCTACAAAAATAAATTTCCCTAACATTACTCTAAAAACAAATGCTGAG